TCGATTTAATCTGAGCCAGAAAAATGATCTGCTGAAAGAAGTATCAGAATAAATCTTTGGTCGATTTACCCTGAACTAGAAGATATTCATGTCCGACTTCGACTGCAAGAAGTATCAGAATAAATCTTTGGTTGATTTAATCTGAGCCATAAGAGGTCTCTTTCTCTTTAACTGGAAGAAGTATCAGAATAAACCTTTGGTCGATTTAATCTGAGCCAGAAAAAGGATCTGCTGGAAGAAGTATCAGAATAAATCTTTGGTCGATTTAATCTGAGCCAGAGGATATTTATGCCCTACTTCGATTGGAAGAAGCATCAGAATAAATCTTTGGTCGATTTAATTTGAGCCAGAAGAGTTCTATTTGTCTTTAATTGGAAGAAGTATCAGAACAAATCTTTGGTCGATTTAATCTGATCCAGAAAAAGGTCCGCTGGAAGAAGTATCAAAATAAATCTTTGGTCGATTTAATATGAGCCAGAGGATTTTTATGTCCGACTTCGGCTGGAAGAAATATCAGAATAAATCTTTGATTGACTTAATCTGATCCAGAAGAGGTCTCTTTGTCTTTAACTGGAAGAAGTATTAGAATAAATCTTTTGTCGATTTAATCTGAGCCAGAAAAATAATCTGCTGGATGAAGTATCAGAATAAATCTTTGGACAATTTACCCTGAGCTAGAAGATATTTATGTCCATCTTCGACTATAAGAAATATCAGAATAAATATTTGGTTGATTTAATCTGAGCCAGAAGAGGTCTCTTTGAGAATGAACTTCTGAGGAAATTACTAAAATAGCCATTTGTCAGATGTAGCCTTTGAGAAGACTGTCGGGTCATATAAGTAGTTGATGATGTTTGTCTGTTGATTGATCTTTCCTGAAGAGGTAAATAGTTAGTTGTATGCAATGTCATGATGTATGAAATGTGTTTCATAATGATGTTCTCAAAATGAATGAGACTATGCTATATGCGTTTCATATGTATATGATATGATATTGATAAATGATGTATGAATGTGAAATGTTATTAAAGTGTATTTGTAAACTCGAGCAACATCTTTCTCAGAGGAAAATAAATCCCTGACTGTCTCTAGGGATGAATAGTACATTTATCTTCGATCTTTTGGGTATTGTTTCCACTGGGGACTCCTGCTTTCTTATTTGAGGAAAATCCGCTGGGGAACATTGATTTCTGCTTTTTTGCTTGAGGAAACTTAGCTGGAGAATGTTAATTCCTGCTTGGGGAGAAAATTTCAAGAACATTGGTTGTTCATTGCTCTTTTGGGGAGTTTATACCCTGACTGAGGATAAAAGAGATGGATAACCTTTCGGCTTGTCTGGAGAGGATAAAGTTGACTGATATCTGGCCCAATTTTAGACTCAATAGTAACTCTCTGGGGATAGTGGAAACTTTACTGGGGAGAGGAATTTTTCCGCTGACTCGTAGCCATCTGAGTAACAGACTTAAGCTGGGGAGACGATAATTTGTTGGGGAAATTAACCATGTTGGGGAAATAAACCATGTCAATGGAGCAATACTCTGTTGAGGAAACACCCTTGTTGAGGAAATAAACTCTGTTGAAGAGTAGAGATCTACAGGGGGTTTTGCAATCTCGGAGGAATAAACTCAGTTGGAGAAGAGAACTTCCTTGAACTGTAATGGTCGGAACTCCGTAGGTTAGTGACATTACCGGGAAGAAGATCATACTCCTTTATCCGTCAGAGCAATCTATCGGGGAGATTTCGGAGAATGTATGAACTTGTGAAGATTACTCTGTGGGGATAATCTAATGGAAGTTGTGGGGATTCGTGGGCGGCTTGGACATTGTCCCAACTCCCAGAGTCTTGAGTAAATTCTGATCAGGGTGATAAGTCTTCTACTGATAGACATGTGACGAGATGGCGGGACATAGTCGTACGCTTTAATCCGAAACTTTTTCCTGGATTGTCCTTTCAGATTTTCAGTCCCCCGGGATACCCTTTTTTCACAAACCTCCTTTTCCGGTTTTTGACTTGCCGGGTGTACAGTTTTATTTATATATCCCTATTTTTTCCCGAACTCTTTTAGTTCGCCAGGATGCCCTTATTTTTTCCTAGGCCTGTTAACCTAACGAGTCTTTTTTTTCTTCATGCGTAGTATTTTCCGACTATGTCTGTGTTCACAGGGTGCGGAGAATTATCATTGTCCATAGTAGTAAGTGTTGCAGCACTGCCAGAAAATGTTTGCTTGATCGTACGTGGACCTTTTCTGGAACTCATGTTCAATGCCCCAAGTGATTCAGATGGAGGTCTTCCCCTGGATATTAGGCACTTTTAAGAGATTCCTTGAATCTTGACTCGACTGCCCCTGATCAGTTAGACACCATGTCATGCCCCTTGATTTTGAAAGGCGTGTTATTGGAAATATCTTTCCATCTGAGGTGATTCTATTCATTGAGAGGATTTCTGTTCATTGAGTATCCGTCGTGCAAATTTCTCTGCTGTCGAACAATTAGTCATATGCAAACAATGACATTTAAAAATGCAAAGCTTATGTCTATCTTGAAGTTTTGAAAATTCATTTTTAGTAAACAAACAGAATTTTGTAAGAATATGAATTCAACTCAGGATTTATAGTAAACCTTACAGGAGTCAGGATACCTTTTGTAACAATATACTTTCGAACTAACCCATGCTTCAGCTAAGACTTTTAAATGTTGTAACGTGGTCTGATTCACGGTTTAAGAAATAAAGGATAAACACTCAAACTTTATTTATACCTAACCCGTTCTCCATGACATTCTTCTAGCCCTATACTCAGTTAATTATGCGTAATTGAGTCTGGAATGATATTTTGGTGTTGGTTCAGATATTGGAAGTTTATTTGAGAAGGAAGTCATTTTTGTGACATTTTTTCAATTGTTGAAGATTCGTAACAACCTCTTTTTTTATTTTATTACTCCTACCTTTTGTCTGAACTATTTCTTTTGTGATTACAGTCAGCGGGATGCCCTAGTTTTTTTTCTTAAGTCTCATTCATAGGTTTGTACTTAACGGACTTTTCTTTTGAGAGATAATGACTGTCTGTTTTACGGGGAACCATCGCCGTCTTTTGATTTGGAAGGACGTTTTTGATACTAAGAAGTGAAAGCTTGCGACTGAATATGCTTTTGAATTAACTGAGAAACTATCCTGCCCCAGGTTATGATTAAAGGTTTCAATTTGTGTGAAAAAGAAAACTCCTACTTCTTAGACTCAAAGGGGTTGACTAAGGATTATCTTTCTTATAACTCCACTATTTAGGATTTGAAACAATGCATGTACATCGTTAGTAAGGTCTTTTCAAAAGCATAATATTGTCATACCCCAAATTTGCCCGCCTTAGTGCTACCGTCAAATTTATTTTTGAACTTGGGTTTTAAATGGTGAAAAATTCCTTTGGTTTAATTACATTAACATTTTGGGGCTTTTAATAAATATTTGCTTTCAAGTCTGTTTAAAAATATAATAATTATTTGTATTTTTAAAAATAACAAATAATTGTTCACCTTCATATACTTTCAATTTGCTTTTTATTTCAATTAAGTAACATAGCACAGTTGGTAAGGGAGAAAGACTTGCAAGCAGAATGTCACATGTTTGAATCTGACTTGGTGCACTTTAGATATTTTTGTTGTTTATTATTACTAACTTTACTTTCATTTTCAATTATTTCAAACCATAAAAATCTATTTTTTTTTTACTATTTTCGTATTTATTTATTTATTATATTTAAAAATATTATTTTTTATTAAAATTATTATTTTATTTTTTTAAAATAGTCAAAATACCTTATAAATTAATATTTTCAAATCAATCTCAATATTTAGAATAGTAATAAATAAGACTAGATTCATAATTATGTTCACCAAATTATGGACCAAATATTCAATCAATTTCCAATCTTCAAAGTTATGACAAAAATATATCAATCTCAATTAGTGTACTTTGGATATTTTTTGTTACTAACTATTTTCTAATTATTTTCAAAATCACAAAAATCATGTTTTTTTATTATTTAAATATTATTTTCGTATATTTAATTATGGCATTTTAAAAAATATTTATATATTTGATTTTATGCACTTTTCATCAAAATTGAGTGCAAAAATCATAATAAATACCAAAAATATTTCCTTTTAAATAACTGTTTCTTATTGGTTAATTTGCATGAATTTGTATCATAATCAACTCCTGATTGATCAACTTGTTGGCCAAGAAAGATATGATTTATATTATTCCTGTTTTTGCCCTTTAATCTGGTTTTGACGGTCTATAAATAAGACTAAGACCATATTTTCACATTTCTAGAATTTCACTCAATTTTCAATATCCACAATTTTGCAATTTCACTGACACACATTTTTTTCAAACCCTTTTTATGTTTTTCTATCAATAATTTTGACCAATAATTAAATATGAGATCACCCTTTTTATTTTTAATTTTTCTTTCTTTAATTTTAATTTGGTTTGTTTTTCTATCATATATGATGATCTTATGCTGTTGGTTCTATTTTTAAAATGTAAGCCTTTTGTTAATACTAACAATTCACATCACGTTTACAAACCCACTTTTATACATACATTTTCGATCCATAATTTGTATATATTTTTCGCTAACAATTATTTACTCAAATTCTAACTTCCACGCACTAACATCTCACAAATAAATCTTTATTTTATCAGACACACAACCTTTGTACATTCAAAAATCTATTCCATTAAAGTTTGGTCGATGTCTTGGATTGGGTGTTGAGTCTAGTTAGGTTGTGTTTGTTGAAACTTTTTCATAATTTAATTAACCAAATGGTATCCAGTTTTACTTATCCAAAAATTCCTCTCTCTACCTCCATTCAAATCACTTAAAATATCCCAAGAATACACAACTTTGAAAAAAACAAAAGTGAATCAAACAGAGAAAAAGAAATAAGACCATCAACATAAATTCATGAAAATTCAAAACAACAGCAATATGGTTTTACCTTTACAGGGAAAAGAAATGAAGTGTCAGCTGGTACCACACCCTTTTAAGCACCATGATTATGCACTCAACCCTCAATCGCGATTCCATCAAGCCACTTCCGATGATTCCTCTGTCTACGTGTTCACCATTTCGTGCACCCCCACGATGACGATTCCAACCGCAACACCTCAGCATCACCGCAACCACCGACGAACTGAAACCTATCATTACCGATGCACAAAGTCCATCTGATAACCCTCCAATCGCGGCCATCACCACTATAACTACCATTGGTTAGTGTTTTGAAAATCCGATAATAGCAATAGAGATAAAGTCACGTGAAAGGTAATCTCTTCAATTTCTTTCATTTGTTATTTCTATTTCTATTTTATTTTTTACACAAACTCTTGTTTAAATTAGGCTATAGATATTGAGTAACCATACCTTCATATTTAATTTACTAATCATTCTATTATTCTAAAAAATGATATAAAATATTAATTTCATTAATTGCTTAATTTAGTCTATAAAAAATGTCCAAACACAAAAATAGGTGATTTTATTATTAGGTAACACAAAAATAGGTGATTTTATTATTAGGTCTAGATTTGTTGATAAATAATTAATGTAGTTATATAATTATTAGGCTAATTAGATTTAATTGGTGTATTATACTCTATTAACTTTTAATTATAGGAATTAAAAAAATCAAACTTTTTAACTAAAATTCTACTTAATCTAAACCCCCACTTAATTGGGCCAAGTTCAATTTCTAAACTTGGGCTCTTAATACCCCATCTGCATTTTGGGCCCAGTTCAATATCTGAACTTGGGTCTTTACTTGCCAAACCCTCCTATTTGACTATCCTGTTACAAAATGTACCCCTTGTAACACCCCGTTTTAATTAATATTATTTATATTATTATTTTTTAAAAATGGCCGGTTGATATTTATTTTGATAATTATTTAGTCGGTTATTCGGTCCGATAGTTGATTATTTTGGTTTATTTGATTTATCGAAAAATAATTATTTTTATATGATAATATCGTATTTTTGATGTGTATATATTAATATGTGTGTTAATCGATTAATTAGTGATAATTGAATTATTAAAATATTTATTTAATTATATTAAGATTTAGTTCAATTAAATAATATGAATTAATTTTATTATATAAAATAAATAAACTTTATATATATATATATATATATATATATATATATATATATATATATATATATATATATATATATATATATATATATATATATATATATATATATATATATATATATATATATATATATATATATTTATTAGTATGTTACTGTGTTTTTATAATATATATAATATAAGTAAGGTAAGTATATAATATATATATTAAGTTAGATAAGTTAGTTTTATATAATATAATAAGTAGTAGTAGTTAGATAGTAACAGAGAGATATCAGAAGAAAAAAAAATTAGAAACAGAGAGAAGTGAGATAGAGAGGAGAAGAAGAAGAGAAAAAGGGAGAAAACTAAGACTGAAGAGGAGAGGAAGAAATTTCTGAAATCAACCGAAAAACTTGTTCCGGAGACTAATCGATAAGGGTTAGACTTCCTCTAAACATCTAGTATGTTTTTATTGCATTAGATTTCATTTTTTTTCTTCGGTTTAGACGGTAAAATTAGTTATCCGAAAATTAATGAAATTTGACGGGATAACTAAGTTAAACGCGTAGGTAATTATGGTGGAATTATTTTTTTTTAGACCGAAAAATGATAAAAGAGAAATGAAGAATGTTATTATAGTATTTATTTAATTATATTAAATTAGTTTAATAAAATATTAATTTTCATATTATATATATATATATATATATATATATATATATATATATATATATATATATATATATATATATATATATATATATATATATATATATATATATATATATATATATATATATATATATATATATATATATATATATATAAATTTCTAACTAACATACGGTTAGTTTTATATTATATATATAAGTAAAATAGTTTAGTTAATATATTAATATATATTATAATTAACAATGTGATTAATTATATAATCGGTTATGGTTTACCGATAAAACTTGATATTTTGGATTCGACCGGAGATGAATTAAATTGTAGACGTGTGGTATATTGAAAATGTGTTGTGAAATACCGATTCCGGAAATAACATGTTCGGTTTATAAATGTTATGTTGTTGTGTGATTAATTAATATAACTGGTTACGATTAATGGGTAAAACTTAATATTTTGAGTTCGACCGGAGATTAATTAAATTGTAGGTGTGTTGTATTTTCAAGATATTTGGTTAATTTCCGATTCCGGAAATGATGTGTTTGGTTTATAAATATTTTGGTGTTGTGTGATAATTGTTGAAATGAAATAAATGATGTTTGTTGTGCAATGTTGTGAGATTAATTCATAGGATTGAATTATGGTGATGTATGCTTGTAATTGAGATAGAAGGATGTCTTGATTTTCATAATTGTTGTTGTTGAATTGCACACCGCATCATAAGTCGTGTCAAAAGGTGATGTCCGTTAGTCTCGTGGAGGCTAGTGGCTCGTCCCAAACTCAGAGTGGGGGTTTGAAAGCTTAGGGAATGGACTTTGTGATTATCCGTCTGAGGGATAGACAATCGGTAAATCCGAAGGATATTAGATGATTGGTACCACATGCATGAGTCGTGTCGTTGTGTTGAGTCGCACATACACACTTTGTTAAGATGATGTTTTGTTGAATATTATGCATTATGTGCTAATTGGTAAATGAAATTGATTGTGTTTGATTTCTTTGAGTTGTTGAATATGGGAATTGGATTAAATGAATATATTATGTGGTTTATGCAAGAGTTGGAAAAAGAGTAAGATTCTCTTATTTAATGCCTTTCATTTGCTTTAAATTACATACCTTATGTTTGTTGGAATTCTTACCCTTCTGTTGGAAAATGCTTGCTACGGCATTGTTCAGGTACCGAAGACGGTAGTGCGAGGCACTAGCTTAGCAGATGCATTTGGATTGTAATCCGTTTTATTTTGGTTTATCGAGTCGATGCTCTGGTTGTAACACTTGGGGGTTAGGTGTCTGCATTCGAACTCGTATATTTTTTATATGGATTATACTTGTATATAATCCATTGTTTTGATTATATGTTGATGTATGTATAATTATGACTTGATAACATGTTTGGTGTATGAATCGTATGGCTTAATGCCTTGAATTTTACATTTTGATTCCTCCTTTGGAGATGAAGTTATTATGATTCCGTTTGCGTTTGCACGAAAAAGAAAGTATATGCCATGAATGTATTATGTGATTAAATGATTAATGTGACGAATATGTCATGTCCGTTTTTCTTGAATATGTGAATTGATGTTGTGACACTCCTTCCGTGCAAATTTTATTTTCTCTGATTTTAATTATATTGTTTAATTCAGAGTTTATTAGAAGGGGTGTTATAATAGTGGTATCAGAGCCAGACCTCTCCCAGTACGATGTAGTTCAAAGACGAACCATGCGAAAGCTGGTGGGCATGTAACACCCGAGGCCGGAGAGGGTGGAGGGTGGTGGCACCGCATGTGTAACACTCGAGGCTGAAGAGGGCTATGAGTGGTCGCCACATCGGAATGAGAGGTATCTTAAGGCTATGCAGGTATGTGACTGCATGGTTGAAGGAAGGATTATAAGGATTAATTTGTACTATCTATACCAACAAGATGCATCTTCTTTTCGGTAGCTCATTCATAAGAACTCCACAGTTAAGCGTGCTTAACTTGGAGCAATTCTTGGATGGGTTACCTTCTGGGAAGTTTATCAGAAAGCGTGTGAGTGAGGATAAATCATGCTGAAAAGGCAGTATGAGGTGTTACACCCCTCAGCCAATTTGGGCTCAAAATATCTTTGGGTCCAGATTTTCTTCTAATACACCACTCAGTCTTAATATCCACACCCTCCTATGAAAGCGACCCAAGTTCAATTTCTGAACATGGGCCTTAATATCAAAACTTAAAACAACTAACCAACTTCAAACTATTTTTCTACTAACATAATCAAAATCCAAGATCATTTTTTTCAAAAAAGATTAAATAGCATCGTCTTCGAATCGAACTACGAACTGCATCTACGAACACTCAATTTACAACCCAATCAAGATTCAAGGTTAATTCGAAAGCAATTCTACGCAATCTTATAAAAAACACCAAACAAACTACGAACTACGAATTAGGACTCTGATTCCTCATAAGAGGATACGTAGGCATACGATCAAAAATCGTAGCGAGTTCCCTTATAAAAAAATTAAACCCTTTCTCCTAATTAAAATTTAAAACCCTCTTCTACCCGAACTTAAACCTAAAACCTAATATCCTTGTGAACAAGGTAGATGCAAGGTGTCTAACACCTTCCTTTCGTCTAATAAGAGTCCGACACCTAGAATCTCTGTCTGCGAAATAGGGTTTTCTGTTAGATTCCCTTCCCTAGAACAAAAACTAATAGTGGCGGCTCTGATTTAAAAACCAGTCGCAACAAATGTATGAGATTATGGTATTATTTTCGTCATCCTCCCTCTAAAGGCTTATAGTTTTTAATCGAGGGTTGAATATCACAAAAGGAAGTAAAAGCATTGTATAGTGAAAATAAATGGATTATGAAAAGGTAAGGTGTTAGCACCCTTTTCATCCGTAGTTATATACGGGCTCTTAGTTGCTAGCTCACTTTGAAAATGCTTTTTGGTGTAAGTGTATTTGAAAATATTTTTGAAAAGACGCCTTAGTGCGACGAACTTTGTAATGATTCTCGTATCGTTAAGAATGCATACAAAGAGGTTTTGTCTTTGAAAATATTTAGAAAAGGGAGTGTATGTGGGAGAAATTTGTTTTATTTTGTGAGCAAGCAACTACAAGTTGTCTACCTACTCGAAAGATCTTTGTTCTTTTCCTCTTTTCCTTTAGATAGTACTATCCTACCATTGGTTAGTAGGTGGCCCTATCATTGGATGTTTTGAGGGATGGACGCGGGTCATCGTACAATCATGAAGGTAACTCGTAAGATATTTTAGCAATTACCCTAAGGTATCAAGATCATTTACCGAGGCAACATCAAAGGGCCAACGTAGGACTGTGATTTTTTAACCAAGGGGTCTTTGCTAAAACTTCTCACGTTCGAGAGACGTGACTGTTTATTTTTCGAAGGCAACAAGTGAATGTACCTTAGAGGTATGCGCGTGCGAAGTGTGTTGTATTTCAGTTATTTGTCTTGGA